TTAATTTCCCCGATTATTCTCTTCAACGTGGCAAGATGTGTCGCAAGTATAATAATTTCTTCAGTTTTTCCTGGATTTTCTTGCTTGGAAATTATTATTTTCTACATTTCAATTGTATTTCATTCTCGTTTCCTAATTCTTTGTCTTTTTTATTCTCGGTGTTCGTTCAACTTTCACAAGGCCAAGCGCGATTGTTATTAACATCTCTGGGATCTCTGTTAACGAGCAGACGAGATGGAAATTGAATCCGCGGCAGAAGGTGGCCGAAGTTCATGGTTGTTCCTCGACCGTGAAATTCCCTCTAGCAATCGTGGGAATGGGAGATTGTTAATTTAAAAGAACGAGGCAAGGCCACCGGGAGGGGGAGAGCGTGTCGAGGTTGTTCCGAGATCTTCGTAACTCGGTCATTTTTCGCGGCCCGTCGACTTTTAATTAATTCTTCGCCACATCGGCTCTTCCAACAATTTCTTCCTCGCACGCGAGCGTGCGAAGCCGCGTAACTTCTGCGTCAATTTTTCACTCGATTCTCTCGGGCGTGAAGTTGAATTTCACTAGGCAGATGTAATTGCGAACGACGTTTCGTAACGCGTAGCGTCCCGTCATCGTCGTGGCGAACGATCGTTAATTAAAGCTGGTCTCGTCTCGATAACCGTCAAAAGGTATGATGTAAGAAAGATGGTATGCTTGAGTTACCGGCGAGCGAGAGAAAGTTCACTGGAACCTGTGCACTTAAACTTTATCGCGACACCTTGGCTCCGAAGAACCTCAGACTCCGTGGCCACTTCGTCTCGAGATAATTTCTTTTTAAATAGCGCCGGATGGTGGCTAAGCATTAAACAATTTCAAGCACGTTCTGCGAGTGCTTAACTTTCAAACACTTAGATCGACCAACTTTTTCTTAGATTAAACTTCGACTAAACTTCGAATAATTGTTTAAATTGCGAATCGAAATTGCATTTGAAGGCGCGAAACATGTAAAATATTTACAATAGCAAAACGTTGAAATACGCAGAGCATTGAAAATTATAGTACTTTTAATCTAAAAATTTGCACAGAAATTCACGGCCTAATCGTAGATTTATAAATTTCAAGGAATTTTGTCACAATAGCTACATAAATTTCCAGGTTTATGAATAGCCACGTACCGACGATGGCGCATTTCACTAACGGACTATCGTTCTACACGTTTTATCGAGATTCCTTCGGGTTTCTTTCAAGGTACCTCGATGAATCAGAATCGACTCGAGGAGAAGGTTCGAGGAGAGCGTTGTCGCAAAAAGTACGAGAGGGCAGAATGCAGACGTAGGATATTCCACGGACTCGTCGAGCAGAATTTGTATTGCACTGCGCGAAACGTCCTTCGCCTCTATTGCCATTGCTCGGCCTCGCGTGTCAACTAATGATTTGTGTACAAATTTACGTTGCTTAACGGGTTCTTGATATACCCGGCCTGACTATAGATCGCAACCGCGAAGAACAAAAAAAAAATTAACAGCTTGTAATTTTCATTTTTAGACTTTACAGGATCTCTGGTGAAATGTAGCAAAATTTCACTTCAATCGCGAAAGAATTTCACTATATAATTTTCAAGATTAAGATAAGAAGGTGCAACAATTTTGACAAGCGAATCATCTGTTTGGAAGCTTAATTTTCATCATTTTCTCTAGTTTTGTCAATTTTAATTTCCGGAATCATTAACGTCCAAAGAGAATACCCTTTAAGATTTCTGATGCACCAGTTCACTCACAATTGTCGTAGCGGAGATTCGAACGAGGGAAGAGGAAAGGCGAGTGGACGTAAGAATTCGTCGGAGAAGACTGAATCGTCGGATAATTACGTAAAAACTAATAAAGGAAGTGTAACAGCGAGCAAGGAACAAGTGTTTCCCGAATGTTCGCCTTCAGGCATTCGTTCCTAAAACGGAAACCACTTTATAGCGTTTCCGGCGGCTAATACAGATATCCTCCGCGCGGGGATGAAGCACGCCTATTTTTAGATTCGGAGCATAATGCTGCACATTCATCCTGCTTGGTTCCTTCACGGAAACACACGGCTACAATTGTTATCTCGCTGTTTTGTAACGATATAAAATTCGTTCCTTGATGGCGAACGACACGCGGCGCGCAATTTGAAATAATAATTCTTAAAAATATCGCGTGTCGTAAACCATAAGGGGAAAGCGGTCGAATATACAAGTACATGTTTGCATATTCAAATGTTCCCATAAACATCCGCGTATGCATGTACGTCCGTGCGATTTACACGAAACAAAATTCTTGGAATTCTTCAACTCGTTGGAAACAGAGTGCCGAGCGGTTTATTTAAAAATGCAACACATTTCGAAGGTTAGATTAACTCGAACGAACCGGCCACGACGGTATTTGCACGTTACAACATTTATCAAGAACTGGGAATAGTGTTGCGCGTGAGCATTAGACTTCGAAATAATGTATGAATGGCAACAATATATCCCTAATAATTGCTAGAACGAGGCACAGTTCTATCTCACTTCACGTCATTGTCATTGATCGTCAGTTTCCTTGTGAAACTGCCAAGAGATTATTATTAAGAGATAATTGCACCGGCTCACCCAATTTATAATTATTAAGAATAATCGTCACGGTTCGCGGAGTGAATCTTAAAAGTGAAACGCACAGATAACAATATCATCGCTGACCTCTCGTCATTTTGTTAACGTGTCGATTTCTAATGTCTCTGATTAATTAGACAACTTCGGGGACCATCAATTGTAAAGATTCGCAGAGCTTTCTAAATATTTTCAAAACAGAGTCAAATCCTAGGTATTCATTTTTTTTTTCTGGCGGTCGAATAAATATCAGCGAAAAAAAAAAAAAAAAAAAAAAAAAAAAAATAAAAGAACCAATGAACGAACCGTTGCATTCCAATAGCGATAAGCGTATCTTCGTAATGAACATACGTTTCTCCACGAGCGCCATAATGAGCGTCCTTCGAATTAGTTACTCGCCGATTGTTTCGTAAAAAAGAAACAGAAACAAGCTCGACGCCGATGCACAACGATCCCTTTGTATTTTATCCCATTTTTTCCCCCTCGTTTGATCGAGATGATAAATATCTCTCTCGTTCGTCTTTTTCCTTTTTTTTTTTTTTTTGTTTTTGATCGGGGACGTAGTTATTTTTCGTCGTATGGCAGCACGACTTGACGACGATAGTACCGTCTTCGTTTTTTGCTTACCTGTTAATAAGGAAACTGAGATTGCTTCTTTTTTTATCTTAGTTAGGTGTGTTCCTAACTTAAACATGACTGAACTTCATTAGGTATAACCGTAAACGAAACTTGGCAGCGATTAGTTATAATTTAGATTATTAATAACACAAAAATAGCGTTTAATCCCCAACTGGAATTATTATGCATCATAAAAATTCAAGTTTTCAATTTCACTAAAAATTTCAATCATGGTAAATATGAAAAATATCTTAAATTTTCGTAAATTGATTAAAATCATTCGCAATTCAACGATACTCAATATATTCGACGATTGACTATCTATAAAATTTACAAATCTACAACTTTACGATATATTGCGTACGTGCAATTTTTAATCTTCCTCGTACAATAGTATATTTTATTTAATAATAATAAAAAAGAAATTTCAGAAATATCAAACTCCGTGCGTATTCTTGCCGCCAAAGTGTTTAGAGTTTCGAGGAAAGAACTTTGTGAATGAACTCACGTGACCGACTACTCGCAAAATACTATATCTGCCGTTTAGTGTTACGAAACAGTAACAAACAAATGGATCGTATCACGTGGCAACGTAGAAATATTAGGGAGGCAAAAAGGTGAGGTCGAGGCGAAGAAATAAGTGTACCATGGCCGTCGAGTTTCGTTTCGAGGGACGCTCCCTTCTTTGGCAACTGAGTCTCTCATTTTAATTCCTCGGCCGAAAGAAAGGATCGGTCGGCAGCTGTTGCTCGAGCGCACGATTCTCTGCGAGGTGAGTTCGATGGAAACGCGCCGGTATCTCAGGTGTAACGAAAGGAAACGACCTTCGACCATGTCGAAATAATCTCAGATAATCTTCCTCGCGTTTGACACATTTACGTTTGCATCGCGATATGTCATTTCCGAATGAAACTGCAGTTTCGCAATTTCCCTCAAACTTGTTACGAATTCGTTCTTCCGTTCTTTTTTTTTACAGTGAGTGCGCGATTTTCAAGCTCGAAGAGAATCAATTTGAACGTGAAAGTTTTTCTAACAAGTCTGCATAGAGTAAAATGATCATGGCATGTATAAAGTGAAGCTTCCCGAGAGTATGGAAATAATCATTGAAATACAAAACAATGCACTTTGGTCTTTTCTTTTTTGTAAAAGTTTTAAATTTCTATTTACGCAAAACTTTATGGAGCAGTCTCACGAATTCGTGGTAGAAAGCAATCACGTCACGATCATCCTGCGGACAGCCACGTTCTTCCACGCTCTGCATTCTAATTACTCACGGGATTACTCTCCGATAAGCGTCTGACACGAGTGTTGTAATCTATATACACGATTGACCGACACGTACGTACATACGGGGCTACGATAAACGTGTGAGTTGTTCTAACGTTCCTAAACCTCCAATAAAGCGTCTCGGCGACGTTTACCAAGTGTAAATTCCCCCTCTAATCCCCTGATCAAACAACTACCTGTCAATAAACAATACGAAACTGTCTCTTCTCGCCGATCAAATAATTTTCTCCAATAAAATCAAAAAGGAAGAAACAAAAAAAAAAAAAAAAAAAAAAAAAATTCCACCGTCAAACGTCAGTGATCGATATCACAAAACAACTACCACACTGCCGTAACAACATAATAATTCATGTACAGAGCACTGGTGCAACGAACCCTATCGAATCGCGCGTGCGCCGCCACCCTTAGTAGGTCGAATTCCTCCGAGGGATGGTTCTCGCAGTAGGTCACGAACGACCAAACGAAAAAGATGCTTATGCTACGAAAGATGAGAAGGGTATTGAATCACCTTTCTCTGCGCTTCCGCCGCGAATCCAGACTTGGTAGCCCTGTTGTTGGCCATTCTGTTCACCCTGTTGTTGTACGACCTGTTACACCAAACGAAAACGCACAAACGGTACGGACGATCGTGATTGTTGTGATGAACGGTCGTCGTACGAAGTTCACTGTCCGATGATTGCGGCTCGACTGACGCGCCTCGGGACCGTGTGCCGATCGGCAGGAGTCCTTTCGACGCTTATTGGCCGACCCGGGACTGGTCGAGTTTGAGTTTTCGTCTGACGCCGCGACACGTGACCTCCGTTCTCCAGTCTGCCACGAAGGTGACGTCAGACGTCTTTCGTCTCTGACGAATTCCCGGAGCCGTTCTCTCTCTCTCTATCTTTTTCTCGTGCCGAAATATTTCCAGAGAGTCCACTGAATATAGTTATCGTGTTGTAACAATGATGTTCCTACGATCAGATTGCTTGGATCTTTTCAAATTTTATTCGATTTAACAAATGGAATAAAAGTAAAGTACTCTTGACGAATGAAGACACTTTAAATTATGGTACGAATTGTGAAAGAATTTTGAAGGAAACTCTTGAAAATATTTGATGATAATCTTTTCCTTCACGATTGTTTAAAAGTATTTTATGAAGAAGTTAAGAATAAATCAAGCTCGTGTGTAGAGAAATAATTTTACCTTTTTCCCCATAAACGTTGCTTTGCTGATCATGTGTGCCATGTGACTTGATTTGTTTGCACCGGTGACATCAGCCTCGGATATAGGCTGACAAATTCTTCGAATGGAATTCTATTAAAAAGAATCTTTACGTTAAAATAATCTTATCGGGGCATTGCATTTCGAAGAATAAGTACTCCATTCTAATAACTATCTTTCATCTATTTTTAAAAATTCGAACGAACGTGATTTATTTTTAAAATCTTGCTTCGTCTCTTGATCTGATAATTTTTCTCAAAATTGTTTCAAGGAAGAAAAAATAGTTTTTGTACGAAACAGGACAATACAAATTTTTACGAGACGCAGGAATGCAAGCTAGGTCGTGGAACCTGGACGATGAATACAGATTGTAGAATCCTTCGACTACCTTCATCCTGACCACTTTCTCGAGCCGCTCTCCTGTTGCTTTAGGATGCCAGGAGAACTCGTTCTGGAAACGGAACTGGCAGTAAAACGACAAAGAGTTTTCTCTGTGTGCATTTCATTCTTCTACTCCGTTTCCAATAAATCGAAACTCTCCAGTCACTCAAACTCTTACGTCTTCCACTCGCTTTTCAGGAGGATACACCTCCGGCAAAGAACTCTACGAAAAGAACGTTTAAAAAAATATAAACTCGTGATTTATTACGACAGACGCATAAATTTGTCACGTTTCTATCTGACTATTAATACTACAAATAACGTCAGCTTAACGATTATTCAACGTTCTGAGTCACCTGCAATAATTTTCATAATTTTGCACTTTTAATTTTTCTACTTATCGTAGTCAAATTTCAAATATATTTAAGTTTAACTTCATGTTGCTTTGACGTTGAACGTAGCCTTTATACATGCTGCACACATCGTGCATTGGTTTACTCGCATCTGCAGAGTATTTTATGGATATTCGGTGTTCCGTGAGAATAGCATTGCCGTCACAGAAGGAATTCCATGGAATTCACTTTATAACAACTTCTTCGTGCAACGTGAAGCTCTTTGGAAGAATCTATTTAAAGCATCCATTTCACTGAAACTTCCGTTTCACCAAAACGAGTAATATTTCCTCTAATTTTCTTCTTCAAAGAGGTGAGATTAAATTTGACGAGTTTTAACTTCCACTTGCGCGGAATAATTTGTAAGAAATGTTCTCTCCAATTTTCTTCTTCGGTGAGACGAAACGAAATTTGATGAATTTTAATGATTAAAAAAAATTAGTAAAGTATTAGCATTTGTTCTTTCCTTTTTTTTTTTTTATAAGACTGATAATCGATATGCAATGAAAACGTACCATAATAGGGAACAGTTACGTTCGACCTTCTCCGATCTTTTAGCATACATGAAATTTCTGCTTACGTAGTTTCGTATACGTGTCACGTATCGATGACTCAATCGACTCCCCAAGTCCAACGAACGTATGATTTGCAGGAGGCACGATAAGCTGTTGGTACTTTGTTTCTTCGTTAAGTAGTTTGCCAACGTCTCTCCGAGTTAATGAAGTTTATCAAAGATTTAATAAAGGCATACGTGTCTCGTGTGTAAACTCATTAGACGACAAATTTAACGAGCCAGCTTTTCAATCGTCGCTGTAATTCCATCTTTACAAATCACTGGAAAACATTGAAATCTATTTTCTTAAATTACTCGAGTGGCAGAGTGTTTGAATTACTCTACAAGAGTTTCAAATTTTCTCCAATTGCAATTTAATAAACGTCAATTGGCTGATAAATTACAGAATAATAATAAATTAAATTCTTCGTTTCTCCTTTTCGGGGACGATACCTGGCCAAAAGGTTCGAGTGGCCACCTGGTCGTTACGCCACTGCGTGGGACGATGCACAGTGCAGTCGAGCGATGCACCAAGGTCGAGGCCACCTATGCCATTACCTGAGAGAGTGCATCTTGGATCGCTTATACGTGTGCGAGTAACACGCGTTGCGTGCACACGTTAGCCACACGCGAACCAGCGTTAAGTGCAAAGACCTCCCCCTCGTGTTTCAGAAATACTCGTTAATTTGACGAGCGTGACTTTGCCGGTGTTCACCGTGCAATTTTCGCGACGAAACTACAGTTTCATTTCTATTAGTTCTCGCAAGCATGTTATTACAAATACGATCAATTAAACGGCTCTAGTTCTTATGCATTATTTACGAAAAAATTCTTGCGATTATTCCTACATAACTTCATTTCGAATTATCTCCCTTCAATTTCAACACGGCGTACAGTTTCACTTCTTTCGGAATATTTGTCGACTAAGCGTCGGGATTGCTAATCCAAGTAGAAAATGTTGATGATATTGTTGGAATTCGATGCGAGGGAATGTTATTTTCTTGGCTCGTAAGCGCTCCGATGTTGACTCTTTGCTTGTTAAATTATGATTCAACCGATATACGTATTTTTTTTTTTTTTTTCTTTTTACGTATGATGTATATCTGCACGATAAGATACACGGCTTACTTCTTTCTTATTTTTAATCCGAAGTATCGTCTTTCGACGTTTTACCGCAACGTCACGCATACCGAAGGCAATCACGCTTGACCATTCGCGATCCTTTCTTTCTTTTCTGTCAATTCACTTACGATTTCCATTCGAAGGATGATTAAAACCGGATCGAATAGAAACCAGTCAAGGTAACGTCCTTACGATCCGGATAGTCTGCTGGCGTAGAAATTCGGCGTCGTGATAATTAAACGATCAATCCAATTGATCGTATTCGTTCGAGGTTGAATTATCGATGCATTTGTTCGAAGCGTAAATTAATAGATTATATTTTTGTTCTGCGTGAATTGGTACTCATTTCCTGCAGTTGCATTTCTTTTCTCCTCGAATTCCCATCGAATAACGCGATGCAAGATATTTTATACTAATTAAGTGAGAAATATTCGAGGGGCTGCAAGGTGGGGGACAGAACAAGGGTATTATTTTCTAGACAACTTTATTACATATCAGAATACAGCCTACAGTTTGTAAATTAGATGCTTATCGATATACTCTTAAATATAAGTAACATCCGGCAGGCTTAAATAAGAGACATTGCCATCTAAAATTCATTAAAAAATATGAAAAAACCATCGTAACCGGATAAAAAATAAATTTGAAAGTCATAATGCACATTGCTTTGCTTTTATTATCGATTACAAAAAGTCCTCAGGCGTGTACGTGTCTGTAACGTGTCTCTGTTTTCGTGTGTCCACGTATTATATATATTTATATATTTATATTTATTTATTCATTTATTTATTTATATATGTATATGTATATAATGATATGCATGTGTCGTGTGTGAACGTGTGTCATCGTGTGTCGATGTGAATTTTCCTGGATTTTTTTTTTTTTTTTTGTGGAAGAAGACGCGCCAGGTATATGAATTCCTCTTTCATATCGTCTGTGCTCCTCTCGTCCGTTTCTTTCTTTCCATTCCCTTTCTCTCGCGTTTCCCTCGTTCATTTTATATGTCATCTAGAATCGCATAACATGTACAACGTGTATGTTATTTAATGTTCGAGGAAGAGCCCGTGGCAGTGAACAGAATGGGTATGTAAGTATAACCTACGATCTAGAATATAGTACGTGATTTGATACATTGCTTTTGCATGCATTGTTAATGATATTTCCATTCGTGTAATTTACTTATAGTCATTACGATTCATCGTCGTCTTTATTTCGTTTCTTTTTATTTTCTTTAACTAGCAAGCACATAACAATCGATTCGTCTCTCCTTCGTTTCTTTTCTCTTTTTTTTTTTCTTAATTTTCTGATACGGTTATTCTTTTGTTTCTTTTTTTTTTTTCTCAATGATATGACGTGTCAATATGTAGTAAAGTTACTCTCAGGGAGCCGCCGAAGCCAAACCATAATCCTCTCATTATAGTCAATAGAATTTAGCTATACAACGGCGTATATCAAAACTTATAAAATACCCAAAACCATTGGTGGCGGCTGCCCTGACCCTGCATTTTTGCGCGATACTCTTTCGTCTCGTGATATGCGTTTAGAGCCAGGCTTCTTTTATTGGTCATTGATTTAAAACATTTAAAGTGTTTGTAAATCTCGCGTGTATCATATATGTATATGTGCGTGAACGACCGAGTCGATTTCTTCTTCGTCGTGACGTGTCCGTTGATAATGTTGAAACGTAAAATCAATATTATCCCCGACGAGAGTCGCGGTGATAGTCGTTATTTGAAAGCTGGCGGTGGTGCCCTTTGTCCGTTCGTTTTCGACGAGTCCTCGCTGGTCATTACTGTCACCAGTTCGCCGACTGCTTTCCCTAAATCTCCTGAAAGAGAACGTTTCAGTTAAGATTCTCTCCTCCTAACTAAACCTAATCTAACAAATCTTTTGCTCTTTCGTTTTTTCAGAATTGTCTATTTACATGATTGAAAATCACCTCCCCTTGAATACACGGGAAACATTGTTATTTCACATTTAAGCGTTTATCGATCGATTACATGCAGGCATACGTGAGTGACGGTGACAATGCCTGGCAAGTGTGTACTCGAGTCAAGAACCCGTGATCGTAGATACGCAAAGACGCAAAGCAACGAGCAGATAACAAGATTAGACATATATAACGTTTCGTGTATAGGATGAAGTACCAAAAAAGGATACCTTAAATATTTCTTGTTTCTGAAGATACAAAAATATTATTTTGAATGTTTATTAATCTCGCTTGCAAAATTATAAAAGCTTCACCATCACTGGCCACAACAAGTGAGACTTAATATCATTATCTCTATCAGAGAGTACATAAAATACAAACTAGAATTAAACACTGAAAATTTTTAATAACCTAATATAAATCTATCCGCCAACCGCTCTATTTCGAGATTGAAAAACATTTAAGCGTACCATTTTCCCTATTTCATCCTACATGTACCAAGTTACTTCACATCAGTGTGTACGATAGTATTAAGCAATAAACGATTCCCGATTCGACAAGAATAGACAGATGTGCGTACATAACGAATCAGCGGGAGAAGAAGCGTTGATGGTCTCACCTTACATCCATTCTGTGGCGTGAAAAAAAAAACAGGAAAGCATTGTTATTTTTAAGCAGAAACGAGGTCGTGCATAAGAAACGTTCGACATAGCAGATTTCATTTTAATTACACTACATAGAAAAAGTGATCGTAACTGATCTTCGTACACGAAGAAATGGAACGAACCTGCCATATGCAAGAGATTACCCACGTTATGGGCAACGCTGTGAGAATGCGGTGGCGGTGGTGGCCTCTCTAAACTGCTCACTCTTCCTTCGTTCGAGCCTCCACCACCTACGTCCATACACCCATACCAATAAGCTTTATGCTAATCTCATCTGCGCTTTGTGAAACGCTCGTTAAATATGCAGTTAGTATCTAAATAGCGTCAGAAATACCCTGCGCCCACTTATTCTGAATAACGAGTGCGACTTCGATGGCATATACGCCGGCGTAATACGCTTGGGAGATTTTATTTGTACGCGTAGATTATGTAAATCAAATAACCAACGCGGAAAATCACACGTCGAAACGCAATTAGTTCACCGCTATGAAATAAAGTGAAATAAATTCGTTCTCGATGTTCGTACGTCTCATTCAACATACCTGGAGAATCATGATAGTGTCCGTTCATTTTAGCAGGCGAATCGGTTGCCAATTGAGACGCTGTTACGCTTCGCGTCTGTAAAGTACCCGTCTTCGACGGCGAGGAAGCGTTTGGCTAGAAAGAATGATGACAAGTTTTAAATTTAGTCCAACAAAGCACAAAAATACTAATTACAAGAAAGTGTTAATTTCATGCTTCTCAAACTTTTGAAAAGATCCGATTTGTCGGAGATCGAATTGTCAAACGTGACGCAATTTCATTGTACCTCGTCTAAAAGTTGTCTGAGTCTCTGCAATTGCGCCTCCAGCTGACGATTATGATCCTCGAGTATCTGCATGCGCGCCTCCAATCTGCCCTTGTGCTGCCTCAACAATTTCGCCTCGGCGATCATGTCGCAGTCAGGCTGCCGATTTCCGTGGCCGTCTTCCGGCGTCGAGCCCGGTGTTTGCTTCGAGCGTAGTCGTTCGTATTCCGCTTGGAGGGTCGCGTTCTCCTCCTCCAGTTCGCGTATCATCGCTTCGAGCTCCTCTCTCTGCTCGGCGTCGATCGCTGCCATCACCTGCACGGGGCTCCTCGGCACGTTCACGTTATCGCCGCCGTTCAAGCTTTGGCAATAGTGAGCGATCAACTGATGCTCGTCGTCGCTGTCCGGCGTCGAGTTGCTTCTGGTGCGCGACAGCTCGACCTCCGCCAACCGGGACGCGTACATCTCCAATCGGGAGTGCATGTCCTGGCTGAGGGAGCTGTGCTGCGGCGACGGCGCTGGACTCTCCAAAGCGTCTCCCTCCAACACGGTCTGCACCGGTAAATAACCGACCCTCGGGTGCTTCTTGAAGTATCTCTTCGACTTGAATTTGTTCCGAAGCGCTCTCGTAAAGTCGCGTACGTCCTCGCCAGATGTGGTCTGCAAGGGAAAACGAGTATTGCCGTTTTACATCACGTACATAATGGGAACCATTTCGCATAGAATGGCAGACGAGCGTGTAAAACTTACCGCGGTGCAGTATTCCTGCATCGGATGCGTCAACTTGTGGTTCTTCGCCTTTCGTCCCGAGAAGAAACAGTTCTGACACATGTCGAAGTTGAAGCATTTCAAGCAACGGTACCTGGAAAATAAATGGCACGTAGGATAAATTGAAGTAGAAATCGTAATTGCCTTCTGTTGCAAATTCACGCGCTGAAGTAGGGGTGGATTTTTACGGTGAGCAGTAATAATACCTGAATCCGGTGATGGGATATTCCTTGCATATGTTACATTTCGCTTGATGCTTTGCGCTCTCCGCGGCGGAGAGTCTATGAAGCACAGGCAGCCAAACCATACTCTGCGGCTCTTGTTGCAGCCAGCTCAAAAAATGTACCGCCTCTATCTCATTCTTGTCCTTGCCAGCCTTCTCGAAGCAGCTGCGAACGCTCGGCTCGATGTTCGATCCGCCGAACGCCGCCACTTCTCCCAACTGCCTCGGCACTTGGATGCAGTCGTGCAACAATAAACCGAGCTTTCGTTGATCCACCAGTCTGTTCGGATCCGCGATCAACCGGAATAGATCTGGAATAAATAGCTCCCGTTACGAGCGTGTTCGGGGAATATACCGAGACGATGTAAACGGTGGGAATACTCACATCGATATTTTTCTTCCAAGTGGCCCTTGCACAACAGAACCAGGCCAACTTTGAAGGACAGCACGCGAATCTGGCCGGTTCGTTGACTGAAATGAGACAACGAAAGTTTGCTGAACGTCAAAATTTCGAGGGAAATTGCCATTTTGTCAGATGGATAGCAAACGACAGAGGAAGCGTGATTTATTTAACTGCGAACGATCGTTGATCGAGCTCACCTATCGTACACGTTCAGGAGCCAGTTGATGGCCAAATCGATGCACAACGGCACGGATACTTGCGTTGGATTATCCGCCGTTATCACTTCGTACAGGGACGTCAAGACTGTCACCATGTCGGGAATGTCGATTAGTTTGTCGTTTTGCGCTCGGAGCCCGTGCGAATCGAACTGCTCTAACGCGGTGGAAAGACTCAACATGTCCACTGCAAGCAAAGACGCCAAATATAAATATAATCTCTGTTTAAACATCTTAAGATAATTATCCCAGTTTCTACAAAATTGGAGACAAACACTCGACAATACAACACAGTTGCAAGATTATTTAGCTTGATGCGTGATATCAAATCAAATACTGATATATTCTTAATAACAAATGCGTGTAGTAAGATCTGAACTGTCACACAAACTGTTGTTCAGAACTCAGATTGATCTACCTCGCAAATTAAAAAAATGTACAAGCGCAATTTCGTGCAAAGATAATTTTCTAAAATCTACCTTCGAACTTAGGATTTATTCGGTATAACTGAAAATTGAACGTTAATTGCATCTAAAGCAGTTTGGGCTTCTGATCCCAAAGCCCGGAAACGTTTTCTGAATTTTAGAATGGACGAACAACGAGGATGAACGCCACTGGTTTTGCCCAAAGCAAAACAGAGCCAGGCAAAAGATGAAATTCATCAACAACGATGACGGCACGCGTGATTAATCGAGGAAATTACGACGATTAATGAACGCGCGGGCTAATCATCGGCAAAGACCGGCACAGGCTAAATAACGAACGAGACCGATGACTCTCTCATACTCACGGCATAATCGCTTTTGAACGGTGCGCAGCTTCATCGCGGTCCTGTACGCCGAAAATCGTACTTCGTTCAGGTCCGCCAGCGAAGACATCAGCTCTATCATTTTCGGATGATCCCAATGGGTGGTCTCCGACTGATGGCTGCAAAGCGTTTCCACGGGATTAAACGGAGCCGATCCGGGATTAAGAGATTCATGCAGAATTTTCACGCAACAGCCACACGAATTCCCGGAGCGAGAAGTTGGCAAAGTCGGTGAGCGGAACTTTGTTTAATCTTTATTAAATCCGGCCGCGATTCTTGGCTCGAGCCGCAAGCCAGGTTTTAAGAATTTATCCACGGACCAACGAATTCAAGATCATCCGGATATAAGGGCGAACCAAAATCGGCTTTAACTTTCGATTGAGGTCCGCAAGGCGCGAGTCCACGACGATTGGTCGTTGGTTTCTCGGATCTTCCTGGTTATGATAGTTGTGAGAAAGTTGTCTCTCTAGCAAAAGGAAAACGTAATGACTCTTTTTAATCGCGAAAGTTAGAAATTTAGAAGTTTGATTGTGTATTGTAGCTCTCGTATAGCACACACTTGTATTATGTTTTTCTTGAAACTTAAATTGTAGACGGAGGAAGACTAGATTTCAAAAACAAAATGTCGAGTACAGCGCTATACCAATCAGTATACATTTAAAACTGGAAAAAATAATATGTGCATTGAAATCATATTCTCATCAGTTACTCAGACTTTTAGTCGTAAAAAAAAAAAAAAAAAAAAAACGTAATTAAAACACCGACTCGACTGGCATTGCACAATAAACGGGACTCTGTTCCTCGACCGAGATTAACGTTTCGCTCTAGCAATCGCCATCCTCGCTACCAGTTACGCAATCAATATTCCAGGCCCGTCAGTCGAGAGTTAAGCCTCCCCTCGGTTTCAAATCCGGTCGCCAATCTAAATTGGAATTTCTATCATTTCATCGCCTCTCGACTAAATTCTCGCGTCTCTCGCCAGGAGGAATCCTCTCGAACGCGAGAGGACGAAATCATCGGCAGCGAACTTCTTACGTGACACCTTCGAGCCGCGATTGTCTCATCGATTATTCGTCTGTTTACATTTAGGATCACGTTTCTAGGATCCTGGGTAGCGGCTGCTGATAAATTTAACAACGGTGCAAGATTCGGTTTGGTTTGGAAGGAAGATCGATGATTACTTGATATAGTAAGGCACTTTGGCGGGTGTGAGGGCTCTCTCCCATGGTGGTTCCACGCTGCTCGCGAGGAAAGCCTGGCTACCCGGAGTGCTGCCATCCTTTCCAAATCCGCTTAGCAACTTGTAACGCTCGTCAACCGCCACTTGCAGCACCTTCCACCTGCGAGAAAACACGAAAAATCTCAAGCGTCTTCCTCAAACGAAAAATAATCAACGTTCGGGCGACGAGAGGGGAGACGTGAATAAATTCTACGCGGGATAGTGCAACGCTGCAAGTAGATATTAGAGTTTGTCTCAGGGATTTAGTCGAAGCTTTCAACGTTGATTTTATTCTCTCTGCTTTGCGAAAATATCTTATCACGGGGACAGAGATTATGTTGTTAATATTTCTCGAGATTAATCCTGCTGCTCACCTTGAAGACTCGAAACGAAGATTATAACTTGACACGATCTTGGTATTATTATTCAAATGTTCGGTTTTGTTATTCAACGTGTGCTTATATTTTATTTCGCCTTGCGTGCTTTCGATATTTTAAATTTAAGAAAATTTAAGTAGGCAACACATTTTTTTTTTTTCTTTTTTTTGTGAAGACGAGATTCTCCTTCAAATCTCCTCGTGGAGGAGCGATGACGCATACATATGCGTCATTAGACCCACGGTAAAAGACACCCATGACGCATACGTTCTGTCGCTAGCTTCGTACGAACGTGTCCAAATATAAATATGTCCTCGAGTTAGATATACTTCAGCAATTTGAAAATATGAAACTCCAATTCTAAACGGAGATCGTAGCGGAATGAAAATCAGACTCACTGTTCGAAATATTCTCGCCCTCTCACCATCAGAGAAAACAGTAAATTCTCCTTAAGAAGTCTACGTGTTGCATTAGCACGATAAATTCAGAAACGAAGAAGTTGTCAGAGCGATAAATTGAGAAAGGGGTCGTTCACGAAATGAGAGTTCACCTGGTGTTGAGATCTTCGAGTTTCGCCAGCAAAGCATGAGAAACGATGACGCTGCTCGAGGCGAAGACGCTCGCCTGATCGTTCGCGTACTCGATGCTCCTCTGAATGGGCAAGAGTCGTTCGCCGAATTTCTCCAACTGCTTCAGCAATTCCGTCGCCTCGTTCGTGTCGCTCGGATTCTGCCAGCCGCTCTGGATCGCCTCGGCCCCGGCCATCCGCGACGAAAGATCCTCCAGCGTCTTTTGGAACACGCATATTTTCTGCAAACAAATCCAAATTTCTTTTCAATTTTCGTGTATCGTTAGCAATAATAATAAATGTATATAGGGGGAACAATAACAACGTTTGGCGCGAGGCAAGCGATTTTCGCAAGCTTAACCACTTGCGCTGGCAACTGATTGCGGACCGTAATGAGTGACCAAACCGTATAATTATACGATAATTCGTCGCTTTCTTTTTCTTTTGAACTCGTCGGTATGACATTACTGGATAGAAATTATTGTGAAGTAATAAATTTACTATTTGTTTTGCCTGGGTTATATCTAAATATACTTAAAACTAAGAAAATATTGCAACTTTGGGACAAAAGATTCTCGACGTGCGTGACACGTCATTCCAGCGCAAGAGGTTAACCAATTGGCAACTGATTGCGGACCATAACGAGTGACCGAACCGTATACAATAATTCCGCTTTCTTTTTGTATCATACTCGTCGATATGATATTACCAGATAGAAATTATTGAGAAGTAATAAATTTATTATTTGTTTTGCTTGTGTTACGCTTAAATATACTTAAAACTAAAAGTATTGCAATTTTGGGAGAAAAAATTCTCGACGTGCGTGGCACGTCATTCCAGCGCAAGAGGTTAAAGTTTAACACAATTTCTTCTTCCCTTGAGAAAGTTTCGCTGCTGGTTTAAACGCTTCCTTGTCGCGCCGCCATTTTATCGGAACATTAAACTTTTAAGTGTATAATACGCGCGCGGTAACTTCTGTTTCTGGATTCTTTTTTCTTCTTCATCCTCGTCGGTGCAAACGAGAGAAAAATTTGTCTTTAATCTGGCTGGCGGTTTACATACGATACAAATATAACGGAGAACTGGTTAATTTAGTTTATTGAAAAAAAAAAAAAAAAAAAAAAAGAAGCGGTACAATGGGGAATGACTCGCGTAGAAAAAGAATATGTTGCAATATACTAAGATTGTTCGAATTCGTTCTCATATCCTGAAATCCAGTTTTAGTTTCGTTTCACTTCCAATTATGATCTGCTCAATTGTTAAACTATCCGAAGTATTAAAAAATTCATCAACTCAATCAAGCGCTCCGTTATTGACGAAACTTCACCCCATATATAAATTTTACGACAGTAAGCTATGATTTTCCTACCTCACGCGAAGCTGAATAATAATAGAATATTTCGTCGCATTTGTTTAACTTGTCGATTTTGACAGCAACGAAAATAGAGTGAAACGAAATTTTTCTCTGAAATTTTTTTCTCGATTGAAAACAATTAATCTCATATACTTAACTCTTAACGATACATGTTTCATAATCATCGAATTATCACGTGTAAATTAATACGAATCTTTTCGAAAAGAAACTGAAAATATAAGTATAATTTCAACCAATTCGAGGAATATTTACACTACTCCCACGGGGGGAGGAGAAACTTATGAATTTGTCAAGAAGAAAATATTTATCCCAGAAGGTTGGGTAAAAGTAAGGGAAATTTCAGCGAGGAGAATAACCAGTTTCCATGGTCGACACCGAAAATAGTGTTTGCCGAATAAGCGGACGTCGTTGCTCGCGGGAACGAGGCCCCGGTCGAAAAGAAAGTTGCAAGCGTAATTGTCGGCAGCCGAGAAGAGTTTATGGTCATGAAAATCACGTTTATGGTCCGCCAAGTTTCGCGCGGTCGCAGCAGGTATTCACGGGTCAGCCATAAGTAATTGTTGCAATTATAAATTGCGGTCGAGCCACTCGTATTTCGCACTCGGTGAGAAGACCTCGACTTTGCCCGAAACTAAAAAGACTATATAGCGAGGCTAATGCGAGGCACTTTGTTGCGACGATAACAGCGCGACATTGAGGCTGATGACGAGTTAAATTTTGCCTGCCACTTATTTTTAGACTACAGTCGTCAATGCATAACAACATAAGTCGATAATAAATTGAAATGTTGAAGAAAAAGTCAACGAAGTATTACTTGTTCAAATTTAGTTTGAGAATCTATTCTTTCAGAGGTTATTTTTAAAAATTTACCATTATTAATTCTTATAATAAATAAATTAATAAAAAGTGAAATTAAACTAAAAGTGTTGTTTATCTTTTTCAGAAAAAATGTGGCTCGTGATTTATAATTTTGCTACTGTTAATTAAACATATTTATAATCCCGAATTAAATCTGTAATTTTAATCTGTATAATCCGCTTTTAACGTAAAATAACGGAATGTTACCTTTGCCAGTGACTTCTCTGATGGATTTTATGATAAAAATAAAAAGTGAAGGGGACGTCAAACCGAGGAAAATGAAACAATTAGATTCTTCAAGTTTCTCTTTGTCAACCGGGGATAAAGTAGTTAGAAAATCGTCGGAGTTTTGATTAAAGTAATTTGAGCAGTAATTCGAGAGAATTTGCCCAAGGGCTGCTTAAACGAGACTCAAACGACAAGCAACAAGTTAATAAACAGCTAATTGAAGGAAGTCGCGGAAAATCATATTTTTCCTCCTTTAAATTCATCTTTATTTTTTCTTTCTCTTTCAACATGCGCATTTATCGTACACCGAATTATATTTCGACTACCCTGCGGCTCTATATTCGTCGTGTTTTAACCAACTTGGCGATTATATCTACGTTGGAACTTCATTAATGTGAATCTGTTGGCGGACAAACAGTTCATATAACTATAATAGAGTCTCTTTCTACGATAGGAGTTTACGTCGAGATAAGCGACTCCAATCATCACGATCCTCTTTCAAGATTGAATTTTGAATTCGCCTGGTATACAAGAACCGAAGAAGGAAAATAATACTTATACGTTATTTTGAAATCATAAACTTTTGCAACTTCCTTTCGTGCATTGATTGGAAGGAAACGAGTTAACGAAATCTCTCCTGCAATGAAAAGATCAGATAATAAAATTACGACCAGCCTTTTGTTTTAAAGATTTCACGAGTGAATTTTACAAATTTACGAGGTTATTCGATTTCAATCGTGTTTGACCAAAAAAAAAAAAAAAATTTGCGACCGAGAATATTCAGCTGAATATTCGGCTGAAACTTTCCTTCGAGCCAAGTTTCATTTGAATTTCAACTACGTTGGTTATGAATGTAACAAGATGCGGAATAACTCTCCGATTTAACCTGAAAGAAAAAAAGTCACCGCCGTGGACACGGAGGATTTTCGTGGCACGATTCGACGCGTTTCGATAAAAGAGCCTCGACGACGATCGCCGAGATAACGCAGCCTTTTTTCCGCTCCGATAAATTACATTCGACGTTGCGGCAACGGCGGCCGCGTCTCGCGAACCGACGACGGGACAAAAGAGCCGCAACAATAACCCTTAAACAACACCTAACATCCCTTTCAGAGCGTCCTGACGACGCGAAAGCAGTCGCGCTTTTCCATTCATTCGATTACCCTTCCATTCAACCGTCGCGCCCCATCTATCGCCCGTTCCATCCTTTCTCTGCTTAAAGTCGCCTCTGCCTCTTCGCGGTCGAGAACCACCAGCGCCGACCGTTCGAAAAACACCCGTTGCAACTTTCAACGAGGAGAAAACGATTCCTTTCTGCCCGATCTATCTCCACTCTGTCTTCTCTTTTTCTGTTCCTTTTTTTTTCTTTTTTTTCTTTTTTTTTCTTTTTGCTTCCTTTGCGTGTTTCGCCGGCTCTCTTCCACTGAGCGCGAAAAAGAAGGTACTGCGGTTTGTAAGGGATGTGGAAATAGGGTTTGTGGGTTCGGGGTTTTCTTTCGTTTAACACCAGACGCCAGGAGTATAAGGCAGTGTAAGAGATGTCAGAAGAAATTAAAGTATTTAACGAATAGAAGATCGTTTGTAGTTAAGTTGATAAACGCAAACTTTTATCTGTAGAAGTGCGTAAAATCGGGGAAGTGCAAGACTTCGAGTTTGGTTCTCCGTGAAAAATGTGCGAGAATTCGTGCAGTTTCTTCGTTCTGCGGCGAGAATGAACGAGCTTGGAGATTAAAATCAATTGGACTCGAATTACACTCAAGAGTACGCATGTACAATTTTCATGCAGAACAGAAATAATAAGAATTAAGCAACTTACGAATGAGAGGTTAACGAACACTGTTTTTTGTCCTAACGAGTTTATTATTCTCGCGAAGAACGGTGGCATCGACCCAAAACTTCGGCGTTCCATCAGAAAATGAAACTACACCGAACCTCGGAGGTCTTTGGAAATTCGAAAATAATACATCGAGCGAGAACGCGAAGGAAAGAAGAAACCGAACAGGGGGTTAGAGAACAGAGAAAAAGGGGGAAATAATAGGCAGAACGAATAGCGAAAGAGCGAGCATAAAGACGCGGAGAACAGAAGCGAGGGCAACGGATATAGCGGGAGGAATAGTGGGAAAAATGAGAGAAGAGAGAGAGAGAGAGAGAGAGAGAGAGAGAGAGAGAGAGAGAGAGAGAGAGAGAGAAAGGAAAAAGGGCTGGTCGTGGAAAGAGCAACGGGAAAAGCGGAAGAAGGAGGACCGGAGAGAAGCGGAACAGTGGAAAAGGGTTGGGAAAAGTCTGCATTTGCATTCCAAATAAACGTCGACGACGGACGCTAAATCGCTCTAATTAGTCGTCCCGCTATGAAAGTACTTTAAGCGCCGCTTGTTCGGCATCCAGAGCGCGTTCTTAAAGCGAAAAAGCGAAGAAAAAGCCGCGGGAGGAAAGTCGATTCGTGTCGTCGACCACGCGGAAAGTGACGCCGTCAGTAATTCGATAAAGAGATTCATTCAACGAAACACTATGGTCTTTCTTCTGGTTCTTTTTTTTCTTTCTTTTTTTATTTTTTATTATTTTTTTTTTTTTTTGTTTCTTTTCTTCAGCGGACGAACTGACGGGGATTAATCGATAACAGTTAAAATCGAGTCGCTCGGACGCCATGCTGATCAACTCGATGAATTACGATGCACGGAAAATCAAGGAGTTACGAGTACATTGTCTCTTGAAATTTTTCTTGGAATTTATAATTATTCGTCCACTTGCGATCAATTAAAACGAATCGAATAAAATGAGAGT